TCTCTACAATAAAGATTTGGACGGTAATATACACAGTTACGGACGGGATAGCTCACTCAGCTTTCACAGTCTATCAACAACAACGATTGTTGACAGATATAATGTCATAACATTTGGTCCATTTGAAAAAGATAGACAGTACTGGATAATATAATCAGAGGTTAAATTGATTCATTCAGAAACAGATAGAAGAGAAGGTTATTGAGCATTACATTTCATCAATTATTATACTTATTTTATGCATTGAACAAGGACAAACATGTAGTTATCAAAGCACCATCATTAGATCTATCACTTGAGTAAAAGTATTTGTACCACTGACGCACCACCTTCTCAATATCCTCCAATAAAACCCATTTAGTTTTGGGCCTCAGCTGCTACAAATAGTCTCAAAATGTCTCGAGTATAAATTCCCCTCAAATTTCTGTGTCCATTTTCATTAGTCACTGCTGATCACAACAATGCAACCGTTGCTTCACAGAAAAAGACAAACATATGTTTACATATACAGTCAGAATAGTTTTTTCTAGAGAAGGAATTTGAGGAAGAGACAATGGTTCTATAGAACGAAATAACTAAAATAAGGCATCAAAGGAAAATGCAAAGAAATGTATGTTTTTGAAATTGTTCATTAAGATTCATATATTTATAATCAAAGTCTGCCCCTCAACCTCCACTCAATTAGGTCAAGACCTCTTGGCCCAAACATAGATACAGGGGTATGTGAATGAAAGATCACGGTACAATTTATAACGGGGGTTGAAAATCACAGCCATACATGATCACACTGGACACATAGCGTAGCAGAAAATGTTAATTAAGCTCTTCATATGATTTGCTACATGTCTATCCCAGAGGATATGAGTGTTGCATTTCAAAGTTTCAATTTCAATACATAACATCGCAAGTTTGCAACTCATGGAAAAATAAAGCATTTGTCAACCACACAAATGGTAAAAGACCTCTTGTCTGTTTCAGTCAGTCTTATATCAGGTATTTGTATGGAGGCAGGTTCACTGATACAATAAGGTTACAGAGTTTATTTAATCATTTCTACATATGTCCATGGCCCATCTCAACTTTGATTGTTAGAAAAGGAAGTTCCAAAATGACTTATCCTCTCAGTTCTCTACCTCTGCCACCTCAATCCTCCTCTCTCTATTTCTCTGTCTTTACTTTTCAGTCTCTCTCTCTCTCTCTCTCTCTCTCTCTCTCTCGCTCCCTCTCTCTCTCTCTCTCTCTCTCTCTCTCTCTCTCTCTCTCTCTCTCTCTCTCTCTCTCTCTCTCTCTCTCAGTTGGCCTCCAGTGATGGTGTGAATAAACAGATCACACGAGGGAGGTGGTGTGAGGGCAGTATTGGCCACCAGCCTGGACACTGCAGAAAATGCCACCTCCGGAAATGAGAAAGAGAGAAGGGTAGGAGGAGGGGGGTTGACAGTGAGCAAGCATCTGCTGTATGTGTGTGTATGTGTGTGTGTGTGTGGTCTATATAAAGAACACCTTGGATGGTACAGATTAGAAAACTAGACTTATGTGAACTGGACCTCATTTCATGTTCTGTCCAGTGCTGACATAGGTGCGTATTCTTCCAAACCGGTAACCGGATTTCCAGGGTAAGACAAAAATGACATAACATTCTCTGAGAGAATGCATGGTTGGAATTCAAGACATCAATGCGACACTGTTTAAGGTGTGAAATAAGAAGAATATCATCGGCATGAATATTCTAACATGCTCTCGTCCAACTCTGGAGACTTGATAAGACTTGTTGTACGTGAACCTGCCAGAACAGGATGTTCAATGATAAGTTAATCTGATATACTATATGCTTCTACATCTGCATTGCTTGCTGTTTGGGGTTTTAGGCTGGGTTTCTGTATAGCACTTTGTGACATCTGCTGATGTAAAAAGGGCTTTATAAATCAAATGTGATTGATTGATTGATTACTATAGGTAGCACCACAAAACCATTCTGTACACGAGCCATACTTATCCAGAGCGTGCCATCTATCAGTGTAAACCCCTTTCACACATCATCAACAATGCCATGGTAGGTCCATGGATGGAAATTAAAAGGCATGGAAGTTCGTCACTCAAAAAAGGCATATGAGGCCTGTCCCTTGTCTTACCACTTAAGCCTGGCACTTAAGTTTTTTTTTTGTTGCTTCACAATATAAATGGAGGGGCCCTCTTTTAAATTCACAACTAAGACTTTAGCCCATCTAATGATAAGCCAAACATCTGTTTTCTCTATCACACCTATCACATATTTCAAGTTATGCAACAATAACTACTATGAGGGGAATTTTTTAAAGAGAGCAACTCTCGAAAAGCTCTCAAAAAATGTCTGTTGATTGAATCACATGATAATAACTACTTTATTGAACAAGAATGCACACGGGACTCTAACAGACTGTTCTCAACAAAAACATATTTGCATAATTAATATTTTAATATGTATTTTGACATTCAATTCATACTAGTTTCCTCATTTTGGGTCCGAAGGGGACTAAGTGGTGACATTAAGCTTTGGCGGCTTAGGCATTGGGACTGACCTCACAGAGAAAAACAAACACACAGGCAAATGTAAAAGCCAAGGCTATAGCACCACCTCAATAATCTCATCATACTGACAAACGGCAATACATACAGTATCATGTGTTAGATATAGTTATCTTGAATAATGTGCTTTATATATAAAACATATGAGCACAGGCAGTGATAACGTGCGTCATGTTGAGGGCATGGTTAAGTATTGTAGTTTATTATAATTCTTTGTTCTTTTAGAAAAATATCAATTTTAAAACCAGCCTCAATAACTGCACCTCTGTTTCTTCATTGACAAAAATATCCCATTTATATTTTCAAACATTCATACTTTACAATCATTGTACATACACTTAAATATACACATTTTCTGTATGTATATGCATATGCTTTTAAGTATACTTTTGACACATTTTTTATAGTGCACAACATGCCTCTGAAGTTGCCAATCCTAAGATAAAAAATAAAATAATAACACAATAATAGTTACAATGCAATAATAATAGTAACTTTAAGGGGAAAACCTCCCCTGAAAGAACAAAAACCTCTGGCAGCGACAACACAGGTAAGAGTGGAGGACAAAGCAAAAAGCAAAAAAAACATAACAAATGTCACTTGAAAATAAAAGAAACAGATTCACAGGCAAATGAAGAACACATACTCATAAACACCACCTCGTCTTGTCTCCTCTGTGTATCCGGCTCTGTATTGTGCTCTCTCATCGTGTCAACCTCAATCAAGAAAGAAATAAGCGGCCCAAGTGGCTCAGAGTGGGATACACTCACAATAAAGGCACCTCCCACTAGGGGAGGCACAGAGGCCACTCATCCCAATGTTCAGAGGTTGGTTGAATATTCCTTAAAAAGTATATCTTTAAAAACATATTGATTCACATCTGATACCAACAGACTCATGTCTGACAAAAGCTCTTTACCAAAAGTACATTCCTCTCTCAATGTTTTTTTCTCACCATTATATTTTCTCTGTCAAAGGTAAGACTTAAAAACAACAACAGAAAATACTTGGTGATAAAGGAGGGGGAAGAACATTGTACAAAATAGTATCAGTAACAAATGGAGAACAATTCAGATGCTTGAAAGCGACGGTATGAGTATTTGTGTGGAACCAGGGTGAAGAGGCTTTGCAGTATGGCGGTAAGAGGTAACCCATCCACACAGTTGGCAAGAGCAGGATTTTTTTTGGCTTTTTAAAATTCAATTTAGGCTTAAGAGTACAGGGGGCTCATCCTCTCTCTCTGCCAAAGTTTCAACTCTCCCTCTAGACCTCTGCCTCTTCTCTCACCCTCCCGCCGTCCTCATCTCACCATCACAACACAAGTCTCATTTCATCTCCATCGTTTCAACATCCAACAATGGCTCAGGAGAAGAAGGAAAAGAGTAACAACACTTTTGCATTTGTGTCCATCATATTTTGTGTCTTTTCAATGTGTGTGTGTTTGTTTTTGCTTTTGTTTTTTAAAGGTCTGCTTTGAGCGAAACACTCCAGGATTCCTCAGTGGGGGGGGGGGGGGGGGGGGGGGTGCGTCCGTGTCCGTGTGGGGGGACGAGGGGGACGTGTGAGGTGGCCCGGCGCTCAGTCAAGGTCCCAGGGGCTGGAAGGGCTCGGCGTGCTCTCAGGGTTCGAAGACTTCAAAGAGACAGAGAGAGAGAGAGAGAGAGAGAGAGAGAGAGATACAGAGGAGGGAAACAAAGATGGAGAGATGGACGAAGAGTAGACTGCAGGATAAAAGGAGAAAGAGCCAGATAACTGGAGGCTGTGACGCCCTCCCCTTTCCAAGTCACAACTAATGACGAAGAAGCAAGAGGAACCAATAGGATGAGGAAGGCAGGAGGGGCGAGCAAGAGCTCAGTAGTCTGGCCTCACAAAGAAAGACCCAAACCTAAGTCCTTCTTCCCTATTTCAGCTTGCACAAATACATTCAGCATGAAGAGAGGGATGAAACAGATGAGAGCAGGAGCAGTGAGAGAGGGATGACCGACAGAGGGAACGAAGGGGAGGATAAGTGTGCTTGTGGGATCGCAGGTGAGCGAGTTACTATTTACTGTGTGCACTGTACGTGCACGTCACAAGACGTTGAAAGATTCATTGTGAATTAAGCTGGGTATGATGTCAGAGGATGTTTCACAGATCGACTGACAACTCAGAGCCCAGAGTTTTAGACTCAATTTGAATTCACTTTAAATACTTGATTAGTTACATTTAGTTTTCTCATAAGGACAACAGTGGCTTATATGCACTAAATGCTATGTGGTCAAACTTTGTTTGATTTCATGTTTACTTGGTCTGAATGTGTGTGCGTTTGTATGAATAATTAAATAATGCATGTTTGTGCATGTTGTTGACCTCATCTACCTTGAGCAACTGGTTTTTGCCGTATGTAAGTGATTGACACAGGGGCGCGTGTGTGTGTGGTGTGTGTGTCTGTCGGTCAGTCAGAGCGCGAGCAGCGAGGGTGAGTTCAGGGAATCAGAGGACTGCTCGCTGCTGCTGTTTCTCTGGTTAGCGCTGACCCCGCAGGCTCCCTCTGGGTAGCTGAACACAAATGAAGATGTGTATGAAGGGTTGTAGCTGCCAGCGGCCGCGCCATCATGGTGACCACCACCCCCACCGTCGGCCACCAGGCACGGCCCACCCGGCGCAGGCTCGCATGAGCCATAGAAAGAACTAGAAAACGCTACCTCCTGCATCATCCCCGGCTGCGGCTGAACCTGTTGCTGTTGTTGCTGCTGTTGAATCTGTTGCTGCTGTTGAACCTGCTGCTGCTGTTGAACCTGCTGCTGTTGTTGCTGCTGCTGTTGAACCTGCTGCTGTTGAACCTGCTGCTGTTGTTGCTGCTGCTGCGAAGAGGAGGGCTGCGAGGTGTAGGCGGGAGGCAGGTAGAAAGTGTCCTCCACAGTCAAGCCCACGATGGAGACGGGGGGCTGGAGGGGCAGTAGGGGCTGATGCTGGAGCTGTGTGGAGCCAGAGGCCTGCTGCTCCTGGTAGGGGATCTTGCAGCTGGGCTGGTGAGCCACCAGGACAAACTCCAGGCGCTCCTTCTCCTTCTGCAGCTCAGAGATCTCAGCCTCCAGCTCAGACTTCTCCTCCTCCAGGATGTCAGTCTCCTATGGAGGGAGGGAGGAAAGGCGAGAGATAGAGAGAGAGGGAGTAGAGGGTTAGACAAACAGATGTTCTAATTCTATATATGTGGAGGTGGATGCATGGCTATCTTTCTAGATATAGATAGGCCTACATGTTTCCACCTTGAAATAGATCGTTTAGCCCATGCTAGGACTGGTAAATTAGACTATAACAACTGTAGGCGCAATAGACTGTCACAAGCACTATAATCATCTTCGCTCTCTTCAACTTCTGTTAATAACCAGCCCCTTAAATAACATGATGTGTTACTATTACTCACATACACAGTCATTACCATAACCTAGTTATGTAGCGTAACACACTGTATATAATTATTACCATAAGTCATTTTGACAGTAAGAACCCAGCCAAGCTCACCCCTTGCAGTCTGTCAGTGAGTTCGCGCCGGCGGTTTCGGCATTTGGCGGCTGCCAGCTTGTTCCTCTCGCGTCGAACACGCCTCTTCTCCTGCTCCTCTGGAGTCAACTGGAGGAAATTAACAAGGAGGGATTAAAACAAACACAAACGTTGTCTTTGCCTCTATCTCGCTAGCTTAGAATAACAGATATATACAGTTGAAGTCTGAAGTTTACATGCACCTTAGCCAAATACATTTCAACTCAGTTTTTCACAATTCCTGACATTTAATCATAGTAAAAATTGCCTGTCTTAGGTCAGTAAGGATCACCACTTTATTTTAAGAATGTGAAATGTCAGAATAATAGTAGAGAAAATTATTTATTTCACCTTTTATTTATTTCATCACATTCCCATTGGGTCAAAAGTTTACATACACTCAATTAGTATTTGGTAGCGTTGCCTTTAAATTGTTTAACTTGGGTCAAACGTTTCAGGTAGCCTTCCACAAGCTTCCCACAATAAGTTGGGTGAATTTTGGCCCATTCCTGCTGACAGAGCTGGTGTAACTGAATCAGGTTTGTAGGCCTCCTTGCTCGCACACGCTTTTTCAGTTCTGCCCACAAATATGCTATAGAATTGAGGTCAGGGCTTTGTGATGTCCACTCCAATACCTTGACTGTGTTGTCCTTAAGCCATTTTGCCACAACATTGGAAGTATGTTTGGGGTCATTGTCCATTTGGAAGACCCATTTGCGACCAAGCTTTAACTTCCTGACTGATGTCTTGAGATGTTAATAATAATAATAATAATATGCCATTTAGCAGACGCTTTTATCCAAAGCGACTTACAGTCATGTTGCTTCAATATATACACATAATTTCCTTCCTCATGATGCCATCTATTTTGTGAAGTGCACTAGTCCCTCCTGCAGCAGAGCACCCCCACAGCATGATACTGCCACCCCCGTGCTTCACGGTTGGGATGGTGTTCTTCGGCTTGCAAGCCAGCCCCTTTGTCCTCCTAACATAACAATGATCATTATGGCCAAACAGTTCTATTTTTGTTTCATCAGACCAGAGGATATTTCTCTAAAAAGTACGATCTTTGTCCCCATGTGCAGTTGCAAACCGTAGTCTGGCTTTTTTATGGCGGTTTTGGAGCAGTGGCTTCTTCCTTGCTGAGCGGCCTTTCTGGTTATGTCGATATAGGACTCGTTTTACTGTGGATATAGATACTTTTTTTACAATGCCTATCAGAAGCTTCTAAAGCCATGACATAATTTCCTGGAATTTTCCAAGCTGTTTAAAGGCACAATCAACTTAGTGTATGAAAACTTCTGACCCACTTGATTTGTGATACAGTGAATTATAAGTGAAACAATCTGTCTGTAAACAATTGTTGGAAAAATTAATTGTGTCATGCACAAAGTAGATGTCCTAACCGACTTGCCAAAACGTTGCTTGTTAACAAGACATTTGTGGATTGGTTGAAAAAAACAAGTTTTAATGACTCCAACCTAAGTGTATGTAAACTTCCGACTTCAACTGTAGATGTCTCATCAAATACAATATCATAAAAAATGTGGTGAATGTGTTAACTATGGCTGTCTATCCATTTGACATATAAAGATTGACACACAGGGCATACACACACACTTACAAACACACCAACATCTCCATCGTCACTCACAGACTCGTCTCGTACACGGCGACTACGGGTCCTGGACTGGCGCATGGGGCCCGGAGCTGGGCCTGGCCCCCGGGTATCAGAGCCTGCGGGAGTAAAACCTGAGCCAGAGGAATAACTGGGCCCTGGCAGATCATAAGGGTCTACCAGGGACACAGACTGGGTCATAGTAGAGGTCCCCATCCCACTCTGGCCAGAGGCCTGGGATGAGATGAGAGTTGGCTGCACCATCCACTGCAGGTCCTGGCTGCTGGTGATGGCTGTGACTGTGGGCACAAAGGAGCCTGGCATGTCCACTCCTCCACTGCTGCCCCCAGAACCACTGCCTACCCCTTCCCCGCCTCCAGCAGACACACAATCCTGGAACACACAGAGATGGAGGGGTTAGGCATGAACACAGACAGAGAAATTTGATGCTGCTATACAATGCAATGATAACACGTGACTTGCTCTTTAAACATTGCTTTGTGAACTATTTAGATGTTGATTTCCTTGAACATAAGAGGGCAGATATCATAGCACAAGATTGCATAGCCTTGATGTCCATAAGACACACACTTTCAGGGTACAGTTTGAAGCACCCATTCTAATTACAAGTTATCTATAAACAAACGTTGAATAAAATGCCACCATTGCAAACATTTACCATGTGGATAAGAAGATGACAGCTTTAATGCATTATGATACTGTTATAAATGCATTGTAAGACTAGTCATAAGTATGTATGTCCCCCTTATAATGTCTTATTATGAGCTCATTACGATCCTAACTTAATAACAATCAATTTAAGTCAGTTGAACATTTGCTACATATAGAGACATAACACATTTAGAACCCTTATAATAACATCATAAAGGCTCATACAAGCTTATAAGAAGTAATCAAGCCTATCAGTAAATGTCCCTCTTATGGAATGATAGAATGCCAGTGAGAGTTGGAGTCTCCCAAAATTCCTGCACAACAGAGGTTATAAATAGATCACTGCAAGAATAGATTTAGGTGCCCAAATCTATCCTTGGCTCTCTCTGCTTTGATTAGACCTGAGGCGAGCAGTGATGCCATAGTAAGCTCGGAGTGGCATTAATATTCATATCAAAGCGTGTAAGTCAAGGGGGCATGCAGCTTTGAAGAGGCCGCCTAAACCAATCAACTCGCTCAAATAAGTCAAACCCCCTCCTCCTTCCTCCTCCCCCGTCACACCCCCGGCGTTCCCTTAGCAACGCAACGTAACACTCCAAAATAGAACGCATTTACGTCACAGCAAGCCCTGAACAGGGAGCGTGGAGAGAACCGAGCAAAGGCGGAGCTTTTTGTGCATACGCAGGAGAGTGCCAAAGCGTTGTCATCCATTGCGTGGCGTGCTGTAAACCTACCACCAAAGACAGTACACGTTGCTAGTAGCAGTGGCACAGCCTGAGTCAGAGATCATGCCGGCAAGCCTTTACTACAATACAATTAAATGCCTGTATTTTTCAAGGACATTGGCAGCATATTTTTCGCATGGTTGATCAGACATGAAAGGGAAATATTATTGCCTTTCCCTATCATAGAACCTATGTAATAACAAGCTTATAATAATGATGATACTCAGGTTGATAAATCCTAACTCTGCATGGTAGAATTCTAATGCGACAAGGTATAACCGCACCAGCATTTGCAAATGCTACTGAACTGTAAAGCATCATATAAAATAATTATAAACTTAACCCATATTTCTGGAATACAGCCCACCGCCACATCATCATATACAACATAAATCAGACTTCATGCATTATTATATAAACGTCTGTTAAATGAAACGTTGCCTTAATATTACAATAATCAACTTTGGAAAGTGGGGGAAAAGGACACATAAGCTCCCTTTCTCGAATCATTGCTCAAAGTAAAGAAATGTGACTTATTGGACCTACCTGTGATGCACTGGCCGGCGGGCTCCCGAAGGAGTCCACTGAGGAAAAGTACTGAGACTCAATAGACAAGGACAAACTTCCACGGGAGACGGAATCAAAGTCACCGGGGAACCCTTGGAACATTAATCCGGCGGAGCCGAGTGAGAAACCTACAGTTCCCGGAATGAGTGTGATGTCACCTGCAGTTCGAGCGCACACACAGGGGCAAGGGGAGAGAGGGGAGACAGCTGTCAGTTTGCTGTCATTGAAATGCAGTCTCATGTATCTAAGATATGGTCAACAGTTAACATGCATAACTGGAAACCTTGCTTTACGTGTAGCCTACATGTATGTCGGAAATAACGTAATAAGAACCGTGTTGCTGCATTATCTAACATTCATGTTTAGAAAGTATTTTACCGTTAATGTGTTCCTTATTGTGCTCCGGTAAGATGCTCTTGGTCTCTTTCCAAAAAAGTTGCATGAAGAAGGCAATCCAGTTCCCTGCTAAGGAAACTGTCCTTACGTTCCGGATTTTTAAAAACTCATTGATCCAATTCAGAGTCCGCTAAAATATGTCCTTTGTCCGTTTTTCCAATGTGCAATTATAGATCCATGTAAAAGTCCACTATGGGTAAACTGATCAGCGATATAGAGTCACAGTCCACAGAAGCGAGTCTTGTCTTATGAATGAATCCATGGAGTACGAGCGAAGCATTGTAAAGGACACGAAGTCCCGCCTAGGAGTTCCGCTGACGTACGTGCCCATTTATGGAGTTGTGTTTTTGTTTGGTATCCTTGGTAATGACGTTTAGCTAGGGATTCCCTCTCCCACAGAAACCGTACAGCAGACGAGAATAGAAAATGTTACTAACACAGCCACGAGATATTTCTAACCAATAAACAAATTATGATAGTAAATTTAATGAAACAACAAGTTTTAGTGTGCACTTAGCCAAATTATATATTGTAAAGCAGATGAAAGGCGAATCTAAATGCACTTGTTCTTAGTATTTTGGAGGTAATAATAATAATAATAATATGCCATTTAGCAGACGCTTTTATCCATTTACATTTACATTTACATTTACTTCATTTAGCAGACGCTCTTATCCAAAGCGACTTACAGTCGTGCGTGCATACATTTTGTCTGCTAATGTAGACTAATAATGATTTTTTTAGACTCAGTAAACCGCCTAAATATTGTAGAGTTAAGCTCCAGATCAAGTCAAACTTTGAGGGCTAGTTTAGCCCATTGCCTAATGAATATGTTAAAGAATAAGACAGGTAAGATTATTAATGTACAGACTGTCTGCCTCGTATACATATTATTATTATTTGCTTATGCCTAAAGAGATACATTAATATATAAATTAATATAGATCTTGCATGTAGGTCAGTAGATATATTGCCTAATATATATTGTAGGCTATAGCCTAGTGACAATGAAATGGGATATTACTGAAATGACTTCTATGCTATTGAGAAAAATCAATGAAAAGTAGGCTATGGGACAGGCTACTTCGTACTGGCACTATTCAAGTAGGCCTATTTAGACCGGTTGGCCATCATAAACATTTGCACATTCCATTGTCGATTTCTTACGCAATAATGTTGCTTTGACATTGCTCACAAGAGGAAGGAAACCCACCAGGCAAAGAGAGGAAATCCTCTTGAGTAAACTTTCTCACGGACACGCCCTCTGGAGTTCCCTTTCTTGAGGAGGCCGTGGAATCCCTCGTTCTAGAACGGGATCATCTGCTGCTGGGATTTCGACAGGTTTTTCGCGCTGGCAAGTTTGAACACATTCATTTATTGTTCTTTATCATCAATATTAGTTTATGAGCTGGTCTTTTAGACTGAAATGAAGAAGGTCGAACCTAAGCATACGAAGCAATAAGCAAGCGTTTTTGGACTTCCATTCGACATGTGTTTGTATGAGTGGAGCATCTTCAGGTAACTAATCTATGGACTGTGAGTAGCTATGCACTCATGCAGAAGTAGGCAAAATACAATATGTGCTATTCATGAGTGTGGGGTGTGAAATTTGCAGAGGGCGTCGCTGATCAAGGATTCTGTTGTCAATTTTTTTTCACACAAGTTCCCAGAATAACAACGAGGGATATTCTTTATTGAACAGCCTCCAAACATTTTACCAGAAAATATGTAAACAGATTGAGGCAGAGCGTTCCGACACGGACAGTGGGCAGCAGTGACGGAACTACACTGCTGTCATTGCAAACATCATCCTCTGTCGAAATGCACAGAAACATTATTCATTTTCTGTAGCCTACTCCTCCCTACGTAAAGACACCAATGGGAATATGGCAGGTGGGAGGTGTGTGTGTGTGTGTGTGGAGGGGGAGGGGGGGGGGGGGGGGGGCTGTAAAATACATCGGTGTGTAAAAGGACAGGGAATAGTGGGGATAAAAACAATTAGTCGGCACTACAACGTCACGGATGAGGAACGTTCTGTACTTTGTCGGTGCTCAATCGCGATGAGTAATCCGGACAGATGGTTCATGGCAAACTCTGAGGTCATAACAATACCACATAAATGTACCTACGCTAACTACACAGGAGAGCAGCAAGTTTTGTATTATATTAGAGGAAGGAGGTTCATAATCAGGGAAGTTATCAAGAAGATAGGGCTGGAGGGCTATTATTGAGATCAATCGTATACCTAAAGTTTCACATTCTAACTGCACTGACTGTAACAACGACAACAAGCTGTTTAAGAAAGGAAACGGTCGTTTAATTGAGGGCTACAGTTAGCATCTGCATCAGGCAAACACCAATTCACTTGTCATAAACAGATCTGCACTGCAAGCTGAGGCTAGCTAGACACACACAAGAAAAGCCAAGGCGTGTACAGCATGTTTAATAGCATGCATACATATATAATCAATCTAACGAGTCTTGTCTATGTTATATAACGGCTAAAACCAGACTAGAGCGGTTTTACAGACAGACCATGTGCTTGCTATCCCTTTCTCACCACGACGAGTCTGCTGCATGTTTATACAGTCCAGCGTTGCGTTGCCTTGGAGATACCGTTCCAACACGCCTGACGTAAAGACGTACAAATTTAGTTTTTTTTTGTTGTTGTTGCTTGGCAACCGGTTTCCGCAGTAACCAGTTCTTGAGTGACAGGGCAGGGGCAGAGCGGTAGTTGAGGCACGAATAACATGGCTGACTGAAATGTAGCTATTCCTCGAGTCCACGAATTCTCTCGTTTAACAGCGTATTTTGCGTGTTTTAAAGTTGGTGTTATAGCCCTGCCATCTCCGTTCACATAAAAGTTAAAGGTTGTGTGGTTTTGCATGCATACATCTAACTTTTAGTCTTGTGAAGCGTCCGGAGATACTATTGCTAGCTACAACAGCGCAGCACAGCAAGCATGCTAGTTAGCCTAGCTACAGCAAGCTAAATTGGTCTCCTAGCTTGCTTTTCAGGAGATTCCACTTGGTTGCTTCTCGTGGCTAAATGGTTTGGTCTGAATTAATTCTTGCAAAATAGTGTATATTGTTTCGCCTAGGAAGTTAGCCATTCAGGAGCCATCTGCATCCAAGAGTTGTTAATGCTCATTTTCATGCTAAAGTTATGTTACGGACATTTCACATGCTGCTTGAATAGAGAGATGTGGTGGTTTTGAAGTTCATGCATAAGTGCAGAATATAAATCTGCTAGAAGTCTATGTGGTGCAAAATTAATGAGGTCTTACAACATTGACTGCCACTTATTGCACAATATTATTATCGACCATATGAATACTGCTATACCACAAGGTCATATAGTTGGCTACATTATTTGACTATCATTCATCATTTTCTTAAGCAAATGCCTGAGGCTAAATTTGTATTGTAAGCTACTCAGGGAAACTGGTTCTTAATAAAATTAAAATCTCAAATAGATTTGATAAGCAAAATGACCCTCATTTTGCTTAGTTTCTCATATGTGCGCCACCCTACAGAATAAGGAAATCGCATGACTTTCCCCCTCATAAATGTGACTGGTGTTGTAGACAATAAGCAAACAAAACAATCATGGTCCCCAAGCCATATTTAGCTGCAACGTGTGACCTGTTCGCTTTTGGCTACAACTTGGGACCTGTTTAGCCTGGTCCCATGATCTTGTATGGTTCATTTATGGCACCATAACAACATTAGTCTAAGGAGTTTGCTAAAACACACACACATCTTGGATCTGGCTATGACCTGTGGGTGTGCACTAGAGACTTGCAATGTTGAAAACAAAGCAGTATGAACCACCATGCATTTTACTTTTTATTATTCTCCTAACGTTATAGTTTTACAGTATACTCCTTTTGGTACCTTTGGCTATGCCCCAATTGGTCTCATTGATATCAGGTAGCCTCAATGTCAAATGTGAAGCCATATACACCACAGTGTTGTTACAAGTGCTATATAATCCTGCATAACTTGAGATTTTACATTTTCTAGCAGTGTCTGTGAGTTCATTTTGCATTCCAGAGGTACTGAATTTGGAATGAACCAGTAGATCTGTCTTGTGCCTCAGTGGGCTTTGTTTTGCTTGTCCCTGCGTATTTTCGGTAAGCTGCTAACTCGCGCCCTGCTCGTGAGGCCTACCCCTGTTTCCTTGGGGGGCGGGGCATGTTTGCCCAGTCTTCCAGCCCCAAATATTTGTTACCAGGCAACAGCCAGGCCCGTCCCACTCCAGGATGGTGTTGTTTACACCCCTTCTGGCTGCTCACCCCGACAACATTGCATAACCTTTCTCAGAGACTTTCCCAACTTAAATAAGTTTGACCTGGATTTCTTCTCCCCATCACAACACAAAATCCCCCCACCCCTCCCCCTGTTAACCACATAAATCGAGCTGGCTTTATCTCCAAAGCTCTCTCGACCGTTTCCTCCTCCGTCTGTCTGCTGCAGCTACTCAGTTTGCGAGACAAAAGTTCAGCAGAATAGTTCATGACTTTGAGGCAGGCAGGTTACGGGGCTATTGCTTGCTTTGGGGTTAGCTCTTGGCTACACAGTTGAAGGGCAGTACGTATGACAGCTGCTCTTGCTGATATAAGGGAGAACATCTGCCCCTATAACCTCTCTTTCTCGCCATTCCTAGTCCGTCAAATCCAGTAATTATTTATTGGCAGCATAGATGGGCCGTTGCCTCAGCCTAAGCAAACATTACTTGTATTTGTTATATTAACTGGAATATAGCAGATATTAAATTAATTCCATTAGCCGCTTGAGCTAAACGTCTTTGAGGAAACATCTTTGAGCTCACAATGACCCTCAAACTTTTGAACCTTTGGACTTCTCCTTTTTCTGTTTGTTCAAACCGTTTAACTGCCCCCTTTTTCAGGTTACAGTTTCTTTAATACAGTGAGGGAAAAAAGTATTTGATCCCCTGCTGATTTTGTACGTTTGCCCACTGACAAAGAAATGATCAGTCTATAATTTTAATGGTAGGTTTATTTGAACAGTGAGAGACAGAATAACAACAACAAAAATCCAGAAAAACGCATGTCAAAAATGTTATAAATTGATTTGCATTTTAATGAGGGAAATAAGTATTTGACCCCCTCTCAATCAGAAAGATTTCTGGCTCCCAGGTGTCTTTTATACAGGTAACGAGCTGAGATTAGGAGCACACTCTTAAAGGGAGTGCTCCTAATCTCAGCTTGTTACCTGTATAAAAGACACCTGTCCACAGAAGCAATCAATCAGATTCCAAACTCTCCACCATGGCCAAGACCAAAGAGCTCTCCAAGGATGTCAGGGACAAGATTGTAGACCTACACAAGGCTGGAATGGGCTACAAGACCATCGCCAAGCAGCTTGGTGAGAAGGTGACAACAGTTGGTGCGATTATTCGCAAATGGAAGAAACACAAAAGAACTGTCAATCTCCCTCGGCCTGGGGCTCCATGCAAGATCTCACCTCGTGGAGTTGCAATGATCATGAGAACGGTGAGGAATCAGCCCAGAACTACACGGGAGGATCTTGTCAATGATCTCAAGGCAGCTGGGACCATAGTCAACAAGAAAAAAATTGGTAACACACTACGCCGTGAAGGACTGAAATCCTGCAGCGCCTGCAAGGTCCCCCTGCTCAAGAAAGCACATATACAGGCCCGTCTGAAGTTTGTCAATGAACATCTGAATGATTCAGAGAAGAACTGGGTGAAAGTGTTGTGGTCAGATGAGACCAAAATGGAGCTCTTTGGCATCAACTCAACTCGCCGTGTTTGGTGGAGGAGGAATGCTGCCTATGACCCCAAGAACACCATCCCCACCGTCAAACATGGAGGTGGAAACATTATGCTTTGGGGGTGTTTTTCTGCTAAGGGGACAGGACAACTTCACGAGGTGAGATCTTGCATGGAGCCCCAGGCCGAGGGAGATTGACAGTTCTTTTGTGTTTCTTCCATTTGCGAATAATCGCACCAACTGTTGTCACCTTCTCACCAAGCTGCTTGGCGATGGTCTTGTAGCCCATTCCAGCCTTGTGTAGGTCTACAATCTTGTCCCTGACATCCTTGGAGAGCTCTTTGGTCTTGGCCATGGTGGAGAGTTTGGAATCTGATTGATTGATTGCTTCTGTGGACAGGTGTCTTTTATACAGGTAACAAACTGAGATTAGGAGCACTCCCTTTAAGAGTGTGCTCCTAATCTCAGCTCGTTACCTGTATAAAAGACACCTGGGAGCCAGAAATCTTTCTGATTGAGAGGGGGTCAAATACTTATTTCCCTCATTAAAATGCAAATCAATTTATAACATTTTTGACATGCGTTTTTCTGGATTTTGTTGTTGTTATTCTGTCTCTCACTGTTCAAATAAACCTACCATTAAAATTATAGACTGATCATGTCTTTGTCAGTGGGCAAACATACAAAATCAGCAGGGGATCAAATACTTTTTTCCCTCACTGTACATATGTCAAACTACAATATCCTACCACTATGTTGAACACTCCGCTCAGGAAAGAGTAATGTGTCTACTCTCTATCTCCCACTTCCATAACTACAGTAAAGTATGTATCATGTCTCCATACTCTGTTTATTTGGGGAGGGAGATGGGGAACCCCTGTCCCCCTCCTCTGTCTGGCGGGATCTCACGAAACATTCAGTCGTGTCTGGAAACATCTGGAATGTCTGGGAGCAGAATGAGGTCATCATGCTACCTCCTTCCTGCGCTCTCTCTTGCCGTCCTGCTCTCTCACTCTACAGCTGTCTGGGTTGTGTTATACTTGGACCACAGACCAGGGAGTGTAAAACAGAGGATTTGCAAGGGTTAGGACAGAAATAACTTGATTAATTAGGCCTATCCCTCCACTGCTCCTCCTGCGTCTCTCTGTGGTCAGTGTGTTCAGACAGACAGACAGGGTCATTAACTCTTACTGACTCTTGTGGTAGATAACAATGAACTCAGAGGGCTGGAGTGAGACAGGTGTTAAAGCAAAGATTCCCCTATTTTGAATGTTATATTGTTTTTGTGCATCTCTGAGCGATGTTCTATCGATTACCGGGTTAATTTTCTGTTTTCATGTGTATCCGAGCTATTCGCCGTTCAAGCAGGCAGAAATACAGCCGGTATGACAAGTTTTGCATGGTATGACCCCGTGAATCGATAGAACATCGCTCAGAGATGCACAAAAACAATATGACTTTCAAAATGGGTGAATAGATCAGCTTTAATATTGCAGATAGATTGTAGGTTCTTGAAAAAGAAAAGGAGAGCCTTACACTCTAGGAGCTCAGATGCAATAGTTTTATAACCTACGTTTTGACTGACAAGCTGTCCTAGGGAGGGTGACATGTTCAATGCCGAAATATAGTGGTTTGCTTCCAAAAAGTGGGCCGCAACTGGGTACGTCAAAGTTTTTGTAGGTTCTATCAATTTAATTCTTAGCATAATTTTATTTTTTTTGTAAGCGCATGCACAACAAATATAGACGTGATGCCTGTCAATACATTCCTGTGTCTATAATGGTCGACTGCGTCATTTTGTCTTTTTCAATTGACTTCCTT